AATGATACAAACAAAAAAAAAACTTTTTAAAACTAACACATCGGTATATCATTTTAAATTCCATTTGTAATAATTTTCTTGATAATTGTCTTAGAAAAGAAACCTTCCTCTATGTAAAATCTTAACATGTTTTTTTTTGTTTATTTTTTTTTTTAAAGTTGTTCAGTGCTGATCATTTATTCTTGTGATTCTTTTTTCATTTTATCCAAATGGTGAGGGAAAACACAAAACCAAATTCAATTTGTCTATAGCTTTTATTGTTTATTAGATTTAGCAGTTTTTTCTTCTTTCTTTTCTTTCACTTCTTCCATCTATAGCACATTATTCTAGAATCAACAACAGCCGCAATTTGTTAAATACATCAGAAAGAAAAAAATACTGACTATTATTTTATTTAACTCCTTGCTTATATTTTTCATTGTTTATCAAAACAGTTTTTCTTGTGTCACTTCTCTGACTTTAGATTTCATCTTTTAAAATGAGGTCACCTTTTTACACTATTTATATTATTTGGACTGTTGCCTGCATCTTTATTGTCATATTCACAATGTTTTGGTCGGTGTATGCTCCAGCCGTCTTCTGGTTAATAACATTGAAATTTCAAATCCCATGGACTAAATAGAGGGTTCAGTTCAAAATTCCAGCCATATATCACCTAAAGGAGGCCAAAACATTGTGAATATGGCAACAAAGATGAAGACAATAGTCCAAACAATGTAAACAGATACAACACCTCATCTGAGAAATATAGACAGATGTTGAGTTCACTTTTTTCTTTTTTAAAAGGCAAGTTTTATTTAATTTTAAAAGCAACACTCCACAAAAGTTTAAGTTTGAAAATTTTACATAAAATTTTTGAAGTCACTGAAAGTAAGTGTTGAAAGGATACAACTAAACTTTAATATACCGTAAATAAAAATTAACACAATTTTATTTTTTTTTACAGTAAGTTTCACCCTGTACAAGGCTCGGGGTTCTATTAAGAGGCAATATGTGGCAATATGAAAGAAAAGTTAATAGTTAACCATATAGTTGAACAGGTTAAGATTCTAGAGATCAGGGAAACGTTCTCTTGGGAGTTGGTTCTACAGAGCAGTAGTTCACAGGAAAAAGCTGTTTGAGTGGAACTTACTTCTCTCTGATGGAATACAGAGGGAATGTGGGTGGGTTATTGCTATGTCAGTGGTATGGCATGTCCTTGCTGTAAAGGTCTGAACTGGTAGAAACAGGGAATGTAGTTCAGCTGAGCACTCTCCATGGAAGTAGCAATAGAGCAGCGAGAGACTTGCTATATCCTGTTGGAACAGTGAGGTTAGAGGGTGGAGAATAATTTGTCACCCACAAAGGCTCAGAGATGCTTTTGAACTTTATCAAGGCTGGTGAGTGAAGTCTGGGAAGCTGCCGCCCATATATGACAGCAGCATTCCATTTATGGCCTGATCTGGCTCTTGTAAAAGTAGAGGATAGAATAAGGAGTCAATTACTTACTGGGACGGTACAGGGAGCTGAGCATTTTACCTGCATCATTACAAATGGATCATATATACGAGTTACACTTGAGGACAGGTGTGAGTTTAACACCCAGTCATCTTCAAGGCACAGTACCACCCTGAGGAGACACCCATTCTTGTGACTGTTTTCACTTTTAAAACTTGTTGTGGATTGACTCCAACAGATATCTAAGATTCTAAGATGAGTCATTATATTGAACTCTGGGTATTACAACTAATATCCTCATCCCAGTTGCTTTTATGACGATATTTTGGCTGATGTGTTCTTTGGCCTTCTTCAGATATTTAAGTCATCTGTTAGAAGGGAATTTTAATTATGGATATGCACTTTACAAGAGCCAGATCAGTCTATTTACACTATTTACCTTGTTCGGAATGTTATTCTCATCTTTGTTGTCATGGTACACTCTGGCCTTCTTCAGGTGATTGGAACTTTGAACCACCAGGGTAAATTGTTCTAGTTCTATTTGTTATGAAGTATGCAATGGCTGAAACATTGGGAATATGACAAGAACAGATCCTGAAGAAGGCCATCATGAATATGACAATAAAGATGAGGACAGCAGTCTGAACAATGTAAACAGTCTAAATAGTTACAATGCCTCATCTTAGAAATATAAGCCGATCCCGAAGAAGGCTTGAGCGTACAATGGCTGATATATTGTGACTGGGACAGTAAAGATAAGGACAACAGTCTGAACAATGGAAATAGTCTAAATAGTTACATTACTTCATCTCAGAAATATAGACAGATCCTGAAGAAGGCTTGAGTGTACAATGGCTGAAACGCTGTGACTGGGACAGTAAAGATAAGGACAACAGTCTGAACAATTTAAATAGTCTAAATAATTACAATATAGACAGAAATTCTAAGTTTGAAAGTCAGAAATTGTTCACGATCACATAAACCTATTCTTGACTTTCTAGTCATTGTTATAAATAATTTTTACATTATAAATAATTAATACAAATTTGATTGACTTGAAATTATCATTTATTTGACTTACTGGAAGCCATTAAAATATTTGAAGTATAAACTTACCGATAATTGAGTGTATACTATTTGCATTTTGCCATTGATTGAAGGAACTTCTAAAAATATCTTCTAGATCCATTGCTTTCTTCAAATTTCAAGTCTCCACTGGTAACAGCTTGACATGTTTCTGGCACTGCTATTATAAGTTCCACTTCAATTCTGGCATTAGAAACTAACCAAATTCCAAACTGTTTTTTATGATTTATCATCTGGGAATCTGTCATTCATAATAAATCATCTCAATAGTCATTTTTAAATGCAGTTTACCTGAATGTTTGATAAAATATATAGCACATTGATTATAGTAAGTGGATAATTTTTAATTCATTTTAAAAACATCTACTCCTCACTTACTGAGCGGATTCCATTTCAATGATCTGGTCACTAAAGTTTTACCTGACTGCTATTTCAGGCATACTACACATGTAATGGATTTGCGTCAGCCAGTTTGCGATAGTTTTAATGTTACTTTTGCACCATTTAAATTTGAAAATCAGCTACTCTATATCCTGTTAATTATTTCGGTTTGCATACTATAGATACAAGCAAATTTATATTTATTCATTTTATTTATTTCAGTTCATTTTGCAATTTAAAATTATTTTATGACATTTTATAGCTGGTCGTAAGTTTGATAGGGTTTGTTAATTGAGAAATAGTCCTGGGTCTGACAATAAGCTACCATTCAATAAGGCCTCTGATCTGGAGATCGGTGGATTGGAAGAGTATAAAAACCAACATTTAATTGCTGTTGTTCCCAGGTTCACCCTGACCCTGGATGGTATTAGCTTTTAGGGTCCCAGCTATGGGCAAATAGTGACCCCTCCACAAATAACAAAATATTATGAAAGTATAAAAATACATTTTTATAGTAAAAAATACCAGTAATACATTCTCTTTCTTTCCCTGTCTCTCTTTATAGCTTTTTCTCTCTCTCCTCTGTCATCCTTCTCTTTCCTGCCCTTTCCATCTGTCCTTTTTTATCTTCCTCTTCACCGGATTGGTAGCAAGATGTAATCATTTTACAGCTGAAATGGCTAGATGTGATCATAAGTTCTATGCTAACCATTTCATCTATTATTTTTCTCACTTGGGAAAGTCTCTTCCAGCTTCTTGCTTTTCAGTCAACTTTGATCTTTACAAATCACTCCTTAATAGTATAGTTTTCTCATATTGTGTAACACTCAGTAACTCCTTGTGTCTTAGGGACTTTATTTAGGGTGAAACGATTAAAATAAAAAAAAAACGGTTTTAAAATTACCCAAATATTTTTGCTTGATCTGGTCTTCATGATGTTTTAGTTATTGTGCAATTGTATAAACATGGCGTATTTTAGTTTACTTTCTCCTCACCAGTTGTGGATGTGTGGGTGGTGTAATGGATAGTGGCTCAAAATGAGAAATCGGACAGCTGAGTTCCAATTCCAGTCAGAAATTCATACATTCGGAAATGTAGGCGTGGGTTAAATAGTAGGACTTGTATCTGGAAAACTCATTGTTATTTCAAAAAAAAATTGTTAATGGCACATTGACTCAGAAAAAGAATCAATATTCTTATAATACAAGATATGTTTCAGTTTTAAATAACCCACAAAAGGTTGATAAGCCATAAAAAAACAAATCAATCAGTTTATCTATGTTATTTAAAGCCTGTTACATGAAACAAGTGCAATGAGAATTTAAAAATAAATCTAAATAAAATGTCTATAAAGACAGGTTATTTTTTAATCTTGTCATGTGTACATTTTTGGGCATGTGTGTAAGAGATATGAATTGATTGCTAAAGTTGACACATTGGGTAAGGACCAGACTTGCAGTTCCAACCCTGATGTGGACCTTTATATCTATTGAATCCACTACTGAAAGGCATGAACACTAAAATTTCCAATAAAATGATAATAGTTCTACTAAGACGATTCCTTTTAAACCCTGACTGAAACCAACCTATCAAAATCTGTCCTGGTAAAAAAAAAAAAAAACAATTCACAAATGCTCCAATCAAAAACTAATAAACCAATCTTAATAATCTGATGAAGATGTTGTCATGTAAGATCTAACATTTATTAGATCACAAGGTTAAAACAGTTTTTGTTATTTATCTAAAAATACCTTCTGCTAGATTATTCTTTCTTTGTGGTTTTCTGTCTTGATGTATTTTTTATTTTATTTTTAGTTGATACAAGAAAGAAACTGGAATAATTTGCAAACAAAATACTTTCATCAAAAACAAGAATTTTATATTTCAGAACTTTTTTTTTTTCGCCAAAGTCCAAGCAAATTTATGATTGGTGAGGTTTTCTTTTGTTGTGTCTTAATTTTTTTGTTGCTTAACCTGTCTTTGAAATTGTCTGTTTCCTGTATTTTTTTTTTATAATGAAATCTTTCACCCTAATAATGATGAAAAAAGAAAATCAATTCAAATAGTCTTGTTTTTTTTTTTTTCCTTTTTTACAGGAATAAAGCGACCATGCTTAAACCACCACTGCAATTTCTATGGCGTTTGCGTAGTTCGCGACGGAAGGGCTGAATGTGATTGCCCAACTTGTTCAGAGGAATTTGATCCAGTGAGTTCAGTTTTTCAAAACTTTGATTTTAGTTTCAGCTTCACGACTGTTTTCCAGACACAATTCTGTAAAAAAAAAAAAAACATAACTTGAATAAATAAAAACACATTCTTCTTATGTGCCATGTCCTTTCATGACATAGGTGATCATGGCTCTCTACAACGTCCTATTCCTTGTAGTTCTTAATAAATTTTGTCTTTTTATTATTTCTCCTAAGCCCTGTTCTGCCATCCATTTAATCTTTTTACATGCTACTATCCTCCTTCCCCTTAATCTGTCCTCTGAGCATCCATCTTCCTCATTATGTACCTCAGAAATTTGAACTTCCTCTTCTTGATGTTAAGTATAAGTTTCCATTTTGTTTCCATTTTCTCTCAAACCTCCTCATTGTTCACATGTTCAGTTCATGGCATACTCAGCACCTTTCTGTAGAATCCCATTTCTTTTGTTTCAAGTCTCATTTTCATCTTTGATGAGATTGTCCAGCATTTATTGCCATATAGGAAGACAGATATCACATAACAGTTCAGTACTCATTTCTTTGTTTCTAACAAAGTTTTTCTGTTTCTTAATATTCTGCTTAGCTTTTGGAAGGCATCTCTGGCTATCCCACTGCGCCTTTAAGTTTCAGTGTCGTACTTTTCATCCTCTGTTAAAACACTTCCCTGATAATTTAAATTTTTGTACTTGTTTAATTTTGGTATCTCTGATTTGTAACTTGCATTTTGGGCTCATCCTTTTTGCTAACAACCATGAATTCTGTCTTTATGGTTAGTCCTTTCTTCTTGCTTTCCTTCACTAACTTCTGTAAGAGTTCTTATAGTTTTCTTTCTGTTACTGTTATCATCCCTGTCATCTGCATATCTTATGTTGTTAAGATTGTGGCTGCCAATAATAAATCCTGGGAAGACTTCTAGTTCTCTTAGAATTGCATCACTGTAAAGATTAAGTCCAGAGTGAAGACTCATACTTTTCTTATACACCCCCTTTCTATTTTTGTATATCTGCTGAACTATCCATATGAAGTGTAGTTTGCTGCCAGTATTGAACCTAAAAAAAGTTGGGTTTTTTTTTCACTACAACCTCAGGATTGGCTTTGATTCTTATTTTATTTTTGTATTGATTACAAAATAATCTTTTTTCTCCAAGGAATCAAATAAACATTCCTCATTTTTTTTTTATTGCTGTTTTCATTTAGTCATAAAAATATTTTCTGTTCTTGACTAATTTCCTGCTTTAAGTTTCATTTGAGCAGAGAATTAAGACATAAAACTGCCAATTTTCCCCTTTCCAATTGACTCTCAAGTGTTTAAAAAAAAGAATTGCAAAGAAAATTTGACCCCAGAAGAACATATAAAATTTTCTTTTGCTCTCTTTCTTTTTTTTCAAAATTATTTTAACAGATAAAACCATTTCTGCTTTGGAGAAGTTTATTCTTGTGAGTCAAGTGCGGGCCATTTGATTTTGTTTGATTTTAGAAATCAGTGAAAACTTCTCTCGTTCAAAGAAATTTCATCAAATCAGTTGATCTGCCAAACATTTTTCAAATCAATCTTTCCAAATAAGACTCTAAAAAAAGTCTGGGCTTTGATTTTTCTCATTGATTTTTGTCAATTCAAGAAATTCTTTTAATAAAACCTGATTTGTAAGTAGTTTTTAATGCATTAAACTTAAATACCAAGAAAAGCAAACATCCACATTACATATTGATTGAAAATATAAATGTTACATATTTTTTTAATATAACAGAGATGAATGATTGACCAGTGTTACTCAACCCTTTAAAGCAACAACACACCTAGGAGCTAATGAAAATATCACAGCACACTTAGTAAAGTTTTTAAAGGGTATCCATTTAAATGTTATGAAATGAAACAATAAATTTTAAAAACATGCACACAAATATGAACTTAGCTTATTTCAATGTTTCTATTCAACTATTTGTGTAACTTATTTAATCTGAAACCTGTGACTGGTGTTTTTTCAGGATTTCTCCAATGTTTAGTCAATTGTGCTATAAGCAAACCTCCATTTCTTCAGTTGAGTGTAGTCTTTCTCACTTCTTATTTTTGATGTTATTTAGGGCTGAGAAGCCTAATTCACATAAATAAGAAGTAGAAAATTGCAATAAATCTGATAAATCCTTTTTAGCTAATATGGGATATTTATTTTGTATTTAAGTCCAAAATGTATTAATGGGCAAATTTTAAAAAGTTAAGTTAAAAAAATAAAAATATTTAAAAAAAAATAAATATTAAAACAATTTATTTAAAGCATTTCAGAATAAAAGCATGAGAAAACTCCTTGGCATCCTCTATTGGGAACATAAAACCAATGAGTTTGTGTGAAAAAGGGTTGAAAGTTCTGTGTGCCATCATGAACCTCTTCTCACCACTGTCAAATGGAGGAAAATCGTGTGGTTTGAACACATTACAAGCCACGACAGACTGTGGAAGACTATCATGCAAGGCGCCATTGAAGGTGTACGTAGGAATGTAAAAACTGTTTGGACAGTGTCAAACAATGCCATGTAGAAAAGACAGAGGGAAGCCACGCCATGGTGACTGAAGTTAAGATGCCTGGTCTGAATCAGTTACATTGCAGACCCTTCTTTCTATTATGTCAAGAATCTCGAGATGTTTAGCAGGAAACCAGACCAAATATGGCAGCAGATATATGTACAGATGAATGGTAGATTTCTCTCACCACACAGTGACCTAAGTTACACTGTAGTAGATGTAGCTATTGATTTTATGTATTTGCTTCACTTAAAGTCAGTGGAAATTTGAGGCCAAGAAGGTGCAATAAAATAGTAAAGGCAACTTATAAACATTTGTTGTTAATCTTTTAATTCTATCAAAATGTTTTCATTTTCACCCACCATTAAATGATGCTGTTCTTAGAGAAAGTCTAAAAGGATATTTTCCTGCTTCTTCATAATGGCTCCATGAATTTCAGTGGGATCAAGGTCAAGTAAATTTCCTTACCATATGTTAAATCAGGAAAAAAAAGAAACTTTTCCAGTCTGAGTGTAGCTCTCAACGTGGTACCTCAGTCAATTTTTTTTCAAATGAATTGGTCTTTGAACTTGTTAGGGGACCTTACCCATAATAACATAATGGACTATTCCATACATAATAAATACTGCACTTCAGGAGGAAGCAGAGAGTTCAGCCTGAAGTCTGGAGTGAGGTCCGTCAGGAGTCTGTCAGTCAGTCAGAGCAAGCGAGTCAGTCGAGTCAGAGGCAGTCCGAAACAGAGTCGCGTTCAGACAATTACTACAAAACATTGGAATAGTGATACTGGTCGAGACCACCTTGTTCTCCCTCCTAAACCTGATTGTTCATACTAACACTTTATACTTCACTGTATATATTCCTGTTTGTAATATATCTGTGTTATTCCATATCCGTATTCGAGTTCTTCTTTATTGGTTCTACCTTGGACTATCACCGTGGTACAAGGAACCGGTCCATAACAGAACTCCACAACAGGAGGCAGATATTTATGTTTCTATACAGTCATATCAGAAAACGAAAAGCTTTTCCAGTCTGAGTGTAACCCTCAATATAGCATTTCAGTCAATTTTTTTTTCATATGAACTGGTCTTCAAACTCCCCAAAAGGAGGCAAATATTTATGTTTCTATACAGTCATATCAAAAAAAAAAAATTCTTTTCCTATATGAGTATAGCTCTCAACATAGCACATTTTTTTTCAAATGAATTGGCCTTCAAACTCCACAAAGGACACTAATATTTACCTCTATATACAGTCAAATCAGAAAAATAAGCTTTTCCATCCATGTCACGTCCAGGGTTAACTCAGACATGACATGCATAATCAAATTTGTTTTTCAAATGAAAAAGCCACCAACCTCCACAAAATGAGACAAATATTTATGCTTGTGTACAGCCAATATGGTTTACATAACTTGCTTTGAAAATATTGTAAAATTTGCAAAATCTCATGAGCACATTTGCCAATACTATTAGGTTTCATTGTGAGTAGTATGCATGCTTCTTTTAGAGTGAAAATGCCAACTGCCAAAAACATTTGGTTTATATTATTCCTACCTACCTACCTCAATGACTTTAGTCAAGAGTCTACGATATGTCTTGGAAAGGGATATATTTGTTCGACATAGCAAAACGGTTTTGGACTACTGTAACTGAGTAGGACAATCTAGCAGGTAACCGTAATGACTGGTCCTCATTGTAGTGGTAGGCAATAGGTGAAGACAATAGAATAGGCATTGTCTTGTACCTCCACATCAGTCTGTATTTATGGCTGACACCAGCCAATCATATTACTTTCAGAGGGAACCCAGGTGTATGCATATTCATTACATCAGTCTACAACCTCATGCTGCAGGTAACTATGAGCTCTGTAATTTTTTCATGGCTATATATTATGTGCTTTGCCAGGGCTACATACACTTTTGAATTCAGAGTTAGTTTTTGCCTAGACTGGTTGAAAATCATGACTAGAGAACCCATTCTATCTGGCTATTTATCCCATAACTGGAGTTTTATATTATGGGACATTATATCTTATTATTATTTTTAATCATGTAATTTTATGTTCATGCCAAATGTGTGATGGTTGTCTCTGGAATTGGAGTAACTACAAGTGTGATTAAATTTCCATCGTTTTTCTCAATATTCTTGCAAACTTTAGGATTGTCATGGTTTAGATAGATTCAATACTTGCTAAAATTACATATTTTTTATATTTTGGCATGGTTCCACATGCTCCAGTTATTATGGACTCAACCATAATCTTCATGTTCTGCAACTTTCCCAGTTATCCAAACAGTATTTATTGCTTTTTATTGGTCTTTAAGTGAATAGAAGTAAAAGAAAAGATTAAGCAGTTATTGTCAAGATGATGATGTGGACTCAGGACTGTAAGTTTTTTATTAGGAGTAAACAAATGGTAGAGAATGTGCTATTGTAATAATGGTGATCACAGTAAAGTTTCATATGGTATGTATGATTA